TTGCTATGGTTACACTGGCTGATTCTTGATGCTTCTTGTGCATTACAGATCTGATCAGAAAGTCCTTGCTACAGCTTTGACTTCAAGAGTGTTACCTATTTTATCTTTCAGCATGTTGTTTCTGTTTTAACATACAGACTTTTGAACCACTTTGATTTTAATTTAACACACATTAAGAGATACAGTTCTTGCTTCAATCTTCCTCATGTGGAAAGCATTTTTCCAGTAACATTTACTAAAGAGGCTATCTTTTCTCCAGTGTGTGTTTTTACCCCCTCTGTCAAAATCAGGTGTAGAGAGTGGCTAAAGCTGGAAATTGATCACATGTCCAGAGGCAAGGCAAGGCTGGTAGGAAAACAGAGAGCACTTGAGGCAAGCCACTTGAACAAGCTGCTTCAGTCCACAGAACACCAAGCCCTAACACAATCCAAGCAATGGGTTACTAGGCAAATGGGTGTCACGTGACAAACGTATAAAGAAATGCACTATGGTGGTTGAGCAGTTCCTTTCCTCCCATCCGGAGAGAGGGCTCCACCTGAACTCAGCTTTCTGTCTCTTTTATCTTTCTCCATTTTCTAGCCATCCTTCCCCCTAGGAACTTCAAGAGCCATGCAGGCCATGGCAATCAGGTGGCTGAATGTTCCTGGGGTTGTTTCTACATCCTCTATCTGTGCCACTGGTCCACATGTCTATTTTCTGTGCCCATACTATATTTTTTTAATCTCTGTAGCTTTGTAATGTAACTTGAAATCCGGGATTATGATGCCTGAAGCAAGGACAAAAATCCCATGATCATCTCAACAGATGCAGAAAAAATAACTTCTGATATTTATGATAAAAATCCTGAATAAAATAGAACATATAGAAGGAACTTATCTCAATCTGATAAAAGCCATTTATGACAAACCAATGGCCAATATCATACTAAATGGGGAAAAACTGAAAGCTTTCCCTCTAAAACCAGGACTAAGACAAGGATGTCCAATATCACCACTCCTGCTCAATATAGTGCTCAAAACATTAGCCAGAACAGTCAGCAAGAAAAAGAAATAAAGTGGATACAGATAGGAAAGGAAGACGTCAAATTATCATTATTTGCAGATGACATAATCTTTTATAGAAGATGCAAAAACTTCCACCAAGACTCTAGAATAGCCAAATGCAGTAGTGTAGCAGAATACAAAATAAATACACAAAGTCAATAGCATTCTTGTACACCAATCATGAAGTCACAACAAAGAAAACACCACTACTCACAATAGCATCAAGAAAAATTACATTACTTAGGAATTAATCTAACTATAGAAATGCAAGACTTCTACAATGAAAGCTACAGTACTCTGAGATTGAAAGATCTTGAAGAGAACATCAGAAAACGAAAAGCCATCCCCTTATCCTCGTTTCTAGGCAAACCAACCTTGTCAAATGGCCATTATTTCCAAAACTGAAATGTAGATTTTATCCAATCCCAATCAAAATACCAATAGCATTCCTCACTGAGCTAAAGAAGTAAGTCCTAAAATTCATAAAGAACCAGAAGAGATTCAGAACAGCAAAAGCAATCCTAGGTAACAAGAGCAAAGAAAATATTTTTAAACATCTATATAATAAAAGATTTGGGGATAGGGCTATAGCTCAGTGACAAAACGCCTGCCTGACAAGCACACAGTGTGTGCCTGACAAGCACACAGTCCTGATTTCAATTCCTGGTACCAAAAAAAAAAAAAAAAGATTCGTATCTTGACTGTATAAACTCTTATTACTCAATAATTTTAGAAAACCACAAATAAAAAAATGACCAAAAACTCTAAACAGACACTTCAAAGATGATACGCATGGCAAATAATAGCACTGGGAAATATGTTCGACATACTAGTCAGCAAAAAATACAAATTAAAGTATCAGTGAGTTACCACTAAATAAATATTAGAATAGCTAAATATTAAAAATAAATGACAAGCGTGGACCAAGATACAAAACAACTAGAACCAGCAGGCATTACTGGTGTGAATACAAAATTAAACAGCTATCCTGGAAAACAAGTCTCATACTAAATTAAACATGCACTTGCCATGTGGCCCAACTTACAGATGTTTAAAAACAACAAATGAAAACATGCATCTATACAGAGAACTGTACACGAATGTACAAAGAATTGCACAAGTTGCAGACTTGCATATGAGCTCAGAACTTTTTGCAGACTTGCATTCCTAAATGCCAAAGCAAAATGTCCATCAAATGGTGACTAAGTATACTGTAACACATTCACACAATGAAATACTATACAGTAATTTTTTATAAAGTACTAGTACATGTATCGACATGAATTTAAAAAGGACTAAGTGAAAGAAACCAGGAAAAAAAAGACTGTATACTATATTTCCCTTTATATATTCCAATAACAAAAACACTGTAGACAAAAAATTGATTAGTGGTTGCCAAGACCGGTGGGTAAAGGGGAGAGCTTTTTGGAATGATGCAAATGTTACTTGGATCATGATGGTGATTACATGACCATGTACTTGTCAGTTTACACAATGATACACCAAAAATTACTTGCTATAAATTATACCTCAATAACCAAATTTTTAAAGAAGCACCAATTTAATGAGCTAAACTCAGTTCACTGTGTATGGGAGTGAGGCATGGAGGTATAGTGGGAAAGCTAAAAACCCTTAAACTATTACAAATCTAAAAAAACAATGTATCAGTATATAAGAAATACACATTAATAAAGACTTACTCTGCTGTACTGTCTTACTAGCGTAAGAACCTGAAAGGCTGAATAAAATCTAGGAGGTACAAGAGACATTGTGAAATGAAAGGAATCTGCTCAAAAGGAAAGAACAACTGGGATGAGGGAAAAGAGAAAAGAAAGACGGGGAAAATAGGTATATATGTATACCCAGAACATCTAACATAGCTGTACTACTGACTTTATGGCTCTATTAAAAGGAACAGTTAATGTTCAAGTGTTTGATCAATCTTACATATCTATATTTGTCTCAGTATCCAATTTGAAGATATCAATATGTAATACAACAGCCATCGTTAATTTCCTATCACCTTGTCTGAAATTATGTATTGCTCGCATTGTTTGTGTTATTTTCTAAATGTATGTGTGTTTAATATGTTTTTGTTCTTTTATCTTTAAAATAAAAAAAAGTTAATCTGAAGAGTTGCCTTTTAAAAGTTCTCATTGTAGAAAAAGTAGGACATCTGATGTGTTTCAGCAAAGATCAAAAGTCACAAGGAACAGGCTGACAAAGAGGACAAACGCAGTGTTTATGAGCTAGAGTTTGGAAACAACTTACCTAAACATTTCTCTTCCATTTTACTAAAAGGAAACATTTCATCCACCTCAATCAACACTAACTTGTGCTACCCAAAGGAAGATATTACACCTTCAAATGGCTTCAAATGGCTTTCTTTATTCATAACAGTCTAGATACTTTACAAATCTTGTAAAACCTTAAAAACATAAAATACCTTATTAGGCAAATTGCTGTGTAGCCATTTAAGTTCCAGACAAGGTGTTAACCATCTCTTTTCACAGCCATCAAAAAGTGATATGCTGTGATGACTTCTGTTTTAACTCACTGTGATAGTTTCTGTCAAGCATTAAGATGACTAAAATTTAAAAAGTCAAAGTTCTGAGCTCGTTACTCCAAATAGGAAGCCACATTTTTCATTTAATAAAAGTTAAGCACTAAGCCTAACTTTCATCACTTTGTTTTCTTTTATGTTTATTCTAGTCCGCTTATACTGTTGCTAGGATACCAGTTCACAATAAGATTTCCCAGCCCACAGAACCATCTCCCAAATAGCGTGAAAGTTACCCAACTTTATAACCCGGGTAATTCTCCACCACGCAAAATACGGGTCAGACTCAGTCCACAAGTGCCATGGGTCTGGCACCAACCGTCTTCCAAACAGGTACAGTTCCCCTTATCGGGACAGGACCTGTAACAAGGATGACCAAAAGGGCAGAGCTCTCTAGTGGCGAATTTACTGTCAGGCTCTCTCACTCCACCCAAAAAAATATTCGGAGGTGCCCAGTCTTAAACCGTGAGGTGAAACGTGAGGCCACCCAATGACAAGATGGAACAGAGGCCCACCCCAATCACCGCATCCTGCAACAAGTAAGGCTGCCTCCAAAGAGCCATCAGCCGCTCCCGCCCGGAAAAACATCTGGAAAGAGGCAGGGCCTCGGCGCGCGCGCGGAACACGAGAAGAGCGGCGCGAGGGCCGCTGAGTCACCGCAGCCCAGGCGCTGCCCCTCGTCGGAAGCCAAAGCACCGAGGCAGCGGCGGAGGCGGCGTCCCACTGAGGCAGCCCCGCTCGCAGCGGGCTCCTCCCGGGGCGCGCGGACGGCGTCCTCGCGCGAGCGGGGACGAAGTCGCGGCGGGCCAAGGACG